AGCAAAATTGTTCCATTCAAAAGGATCTTAAGCTTGAATATCAAGTACGTTTAAATGATTTCTGATCGAAATTACGAAATATGTAAGTGCTCGATGGTTCAATGAAAATCCAATTCGAATGTTTTTTTCACATTTTAGACAAAATCTGAACTTTTAATTTTTCAAAATTCAAATGAAATAAATCATGCGATGCATTTGTTTCGTGAACAATCGAAATTTCCGAAACGGCAGAATTCAGCTGACGTTTTCACTGAGAGAAAATGGACCTGAAGCATTGCAAATAAGTGTTTGAAGATGAAGCATTTCATATTCGCATCCAAGTATACTCTTATTAGCTTAGACCCTAAATGACAAGATGCCTTAACATAGAAAATGCAGTATGCCCTTGCAGAATGATCATTAGCATCATTGTATGAAATATTAATTTGAATTTGAATAATTTGATTACTTGGATTCGCTCAACAATTTGTTGAATTAACTCCTTTCTGATTGATAAGAAACATATTGGTTCGAAAAATGTGTTTAAACATGTCTCGCATCGATATTTCAAAAATTGTTCGATACCGGGATAATCCCAGGATCAGAAAGCGATCCCCGGATTGAAAAAACGTCGGAATTTTGCAAACCCTAGATGTGACATCAAATATCGTTTGATTTTCACTGTGGTAATTGATAAAAATGCTTTGAAGTGATTCGACTGCTGTTAATTAGGGTTTTCTTATTGAATGATGGTTACTGTCAGATTTACTTAATAACAGCCAATAGCTACAATTGCCAATGGAGAATCACATCAGCAAACTAGCGCTGAATAAGCAGTGATACGTGCTGTAAAAAAGATTGTTACAATAATTATTGTGGTTGTGCATACACGCTCTCTTGAATAATATCATGTATAACCTCAATGAATATTGACGTGTGTCCTGCAATAACCCAAATTGTTGCTAGAACACGAAGTCCTACAATGCATTTTATCGTTGCATTCTCATCCTTTGGGAACGACGTTATCGATTGAATGCTGCTCTTTGCCGAAAACGCCAAAAATAAACGCAGAAATAAAGAACTGCAACATAAGCAACATTGAATAACTGATTTTTCTGGGTGTTCGAAAGAAGTTTAAGAAATCTGATTTACTTTTATATAACCAACTGTTTTCATTCGATTAGTTTAGAAGTTTACATTTTCATTTGATTAGTTCGATTAGTTTTTTCCATTCAGAAAGGCATTTTTGGTGATGAACTGTCGATAAACAAAATGCACTCACTGAATACGCAACCGGTTCTCTAGAATATCATTTCTTAAACTTGAATTATGTTCTGTGTAATAAATAACTGCTGACGGCATAATATTGCAATGCTGATTAACCTTATGAAATCAAGAATCCAACTAACTTTGCTTGATCACCTCGCTGAATATGATAAATTGTAGCGAATGCAACAACACACATCAACACCTTATTACTGCTAAATTCCAAAACGCAACTCATTATTTCGTACCACTGCTTTTCGTAACGAGATATTGTACATTCTACATCTTCCACTTCGATATCCTTGCCGCCTTTCGCTTTTTCATTCCATACTCTCAATAACTGAAAAACTCAATTTTTTTGTACAGGAAGAGTTGTAGACGTAATCAAAGAACAACTTCTTTCTCAACTGAGCTGTCACTGCTCTATATAGGCGACTGGTGAACGGCGACTTCACAATCTTTACCTTATCGAGAAACTCGATTCGTATAGCTTTTAGAGCAGAGATTGAGGTATGATCAAGATTGTGACAACTTCAAGCAAAAGACAAGATTCGCCTACGTAGTCGCATCAGAAATAGTCATTTAAATACCTCATCTCGATCATTGGTGCAAGGCGATGGTAAACAGATCCCTCCAATGGTACCATTCGTTTGTATGCGACCACTGCAAAATATCATCGGATATTCTGAAGCAACCGCCTCTGATTCACCAGCTGCGTGAATACACTCCATGAAACGATAGTGCTGTAAAACAGTCATTTTCATCTTAGTCCTGAATCATTTTGAGGCTCTATCTCAATAACACAAACCCATCGGCTTCGATCACGGTTTAAGTAACTTTGTTGTTCACCCACTGCATATGAATTGATGAAGTATTCTTCACCGAGAATGAATCCAAAAACGTTTGTAAACTAAATACAAAATGAAAAGTTAATGAAGGCATGAAATAACTGGAATGTTAAGGGGAGAATAAAAATTTCAATGCTTTGGTCCCGTTCCTTTGTTATCATCTAATAGAGAAACTCAACACAACAACTTTTTGAAACGCGCAATGAAATGTACATGTGTGGATAATTTTAAAGAAGTACACTTTTCATCTGAACTTGCGATGCTATGAATCTGAAAACATATTGAGATGCTTAAGTCAGTTAACGGTTAATATTAGATGTTCCTTTCATAAGTACATTTTGAAGGATGTAGAACAATTTATTTGTTATGTAAGGTGGTTGATGAGAATTCATTAATCATCTTCCATTTATGTGGTATTTCTTAGTAATTGTGTACATTGCACCTTCATAATGAACACTCTGGTGAATAACACTCTTAACAAATTGACGCAACTTACAAGATACACAAATTTTATGATCACTGAATCGTGATTTATGAGGAGATAAATATTTTTCAACATGCGAAAATTTCATCATTAAACTGTCCGAAGATTGTAAAGTTTCGTAGATTTGATTAATTTCAGTTGAACAAGGTTCGACACGATTGGAAAATCGATGCGAATATTTCGAATGCTCACTGATTGAAGAGGTTCCAGATGCAAAATCTGTCAGTTTCGACAAAAAAATTCTGCTGACAAAAAATTTACCGCTGAAGTTGAGAAGAACTCGGAACCCGAATTCAACTCAAACTTACGTCTGAGATCAAACGACGCAGTGAGAATAAACTAATCTAAAGGAGGAACGACTTCAGATTATGCACGCAACTACAATAAAATGTCTCCAGTGAACGTACCATCAACAAGCTCCGTCGACAAATCTCACTAACGTTGCGTAGTGCAGCAGTTCGAATATAATCAAGCACATTTTCAGAGGAGAACCTTTTAATCTCATCACCAGTAGCAATTAAATTAAAGCTGTTAACTGATAACAACAGAATGAGTATCGATCCGACTGTGTGGTTGACCATTCAGATACCGTTTGATTGCTTCACAACGCAAAAGATTAATTGCTGCACAGAACAACCAAAATATGAAGATAATCATTCACTGCTTCCAGTTTTCAAAGAAAGCGAGCGACAGACTTCGTGATAACCAGTTCGAAGAGAGGGCATAGTACTTGTTTTCTTATGAAAAAACTCACAAAATCATTCGATTAATGATTAATGACTCACGATTAATAATTACCAAAGAAGAACGCCCAATTCTCTGTTGGAAAATATATCCAACATAATTTTCTAATCAAATGTCGCTTGTTGATCGCAATAGTTTGGTTATTTTGCGATGGTGATGACTTTTGAAATCGAAATTCGCACTAAAATTTGCTCTTGATGTCAAAAATAATCATTCGTGGTCAAAATAAGTGGTGAAAGAATTCGATGAAAGTTGAAATGTTCACCGTTTTTCTCAGAGTGGGCATTTGGCGGTTAATTGTCGTCCTCGGCGAATATAAAGTGAGTTTTTGGAGAGACTCGAAGTGGAAGTCAGTAATATTGGTCACTAGTATAATCAGCTCGTCGTCAGTACTACAATTACCGATAAAGAATGCGCATGTAAAAGGATATTCGAAATTGGTTTCAAAATGGAGAGTTTTCTATTGCAAAAATTTCAAAATATTATCGTTGAGCAATTGAATGCGAACGTTGTTGTGATATGATTGTTAAAAAAAAACGAATGATAATAAACTGATGAAGCTATTCGAACTGAATGCACTAAGAAAACGTCCATTTATTATCGTTGTATGATTGATTACTGTTACCATTATCGTAATAACAGCATTAATATGTCACAGTAAAAATTATTATTGCACAGTCATTATTCTCATATATTTGACGGTATGTTATCGTTGGTACAAGGGCAAAGAATAACCATAACAGCAACGATAATAATGTAAACTTCCCAAAACACCATTTCGATGAAACGGTCCAAATCAAAACATAAAGATGAGCATGTGGGAAGGCAGCATATTTGTTGCATATTCAGATAAAATGCATGCTAACAGAAGAAGGCAGTGAGTAAGTCGAGTCGGCGATATCAGAGGAGCTAGAGTTTATCATCCAGTCTACATATGTACTAATACGCCAGCGAGTGGCCCCTTACGTCATATACCTAATCCATAGTAAATCATCAAGTTGCTCATTGTGCCGGAATATTAACTGGCTAACGAGTGGCCACCAATACTGTAAGCTGATATTGTAATATTAAATACCTAACGAATGACCTCCAATATTATAATTTGTTCACTACATTTGTATTTCTTCAATTAATCTGTATTCATCAGAATTGTATATTCGTAAATATTCTTAATAAACTGTATTCTATTATTCTTCCTTGACCAACCACGCACAATATTTACTATAAAAACGAATTTATGTATAAGTGATTATTTATTCAATTGAATCAGTGATAACGCTTTTTCAGCGATGGACATCCTTATGTGAATGATGACACATTTAAGCGGCATTTGCAGTATTGCAAAATGCGTTTTTAAATCGCATCTTTGTGTTATGTCCACAATCAATAACCACAGCCGGACAGGGAACAAAAAGTAATCATTTATTGCTGTGAATACAGATCAAGTAAAATTGCCCACTTTTTAATAACACTCATTCCATAAGAAGTAACCACAATGAAAAACAAATTTATATGTTACATACGTTAAAAGTTACAACTAATAGCACAGAAATTCTTTTTTTGTTAAGAAAATGAACATGTCAAATAACTGATTCTTTAAAACAAATTCATATGTTACATACCTTAAAAGTTACAACTAATAGCACAGAAATTCTTTTTTTGTTAAGAAAATGAACATGTCAAATAACTGATTCTTTACAATTGTTGACAAATTTCGATTAAGCTGGCACCAATAGTGAAAATTTTGAGTGAAAAATGAAAGATTATCAAAGGCGACTGGAATTAACTTTTAGTCATACAAAGGTGATTTGACGAGCACAGAGGTTTTGGGCTATTCTCCCATACTGCCCATATCCAAGTTCGAACTCCATGAAGACACATGATTCCAAACGCTATTATCGTTAGCTCCGCGGAAAGAAGAATGCCAAGGAAGGAAGAAAGTGATATTAGTGATATTGGTGATAATAGAGTGGCATAAACTCGTGATGAGTTCGATTTGCTGATTAAGTAAATAAATAAATAAATACAAAAGTGAATTTCAAGAAAAAAAGTAATTGGGGAGAAACAGTAAGATAGACTAAACTCTACGAGTACATACGAACATACCGCAGAGTGGAAATACATATGAAGACGCACTTCATCTGAGTACAAATGCAAAACTTCGCTAAGCACTGCCAGTATCTCATCTCTTTTCATACACAAATCTTTTCACCGTACGGTTCAGTCCACATCCGTATCCAACGTTTCCAAATCGAGGCTAATTTGCTATGAGTTTTGCATTCGCTTCTGATGGAATGCTGTTCATTTTTATGTTATTTTCGGTGTTTGATTGAAGAACGATACGTTCAATACATAGGGCCGGGTGCTCAACCAGAAGCATCAGGTATGCTCCGACAAAATAAGATCCAATTATTTGTGGAACAATGAATTTGAGAAGCGTTGACGAGTTGTGATAAACGATTGGGAAAGATGCCTTATCGAAGGATGCAAAAATAATTAGTATATGTGCCACATATGTCTGAAAATTTGTTGATTTTTGGTCAAAAATTTCAATTCATCATTAATATGCACTAATACAATGATGGATATATGCACATGTTTTCCAGGCTATTATGTTGATATCACCAAAAAAGTGAAACGATCCATAGCAGCTGAAATGCTCAGAAAAATACGTGATTTGACCATATTTGAAGTGCAGAAGTAACATTTCGAAAACGCTTAAAGATGTTTTGGGTCATCTGTTTTTATGTTATGGATCAAAGAATACCTCGGCCGAAATGAGTTTTGAAAGAACTTTAGCGTAATGAACGAATTTAAGGTTTTAGCGCGAGACCTAAGCCACCAAACGAAAATTCCATCGGGAAGAGTATCCAAAGTAAAAATGGCTAAACCAGAAAAATACGCCGAACAAAAACGGAAAAATTCTGTCATAGATTAGTACCGGATTTTTTCGTCTGCTACCGGTACTTTTCTTCAAGGAACCTCGATGGAAAATGAAGAAAAGCCCTGTTCAAGTGAATTTACAGACATGTAGAATGAAGCCAGTCAAGAAGAGTACTGGTAATCCTACCGAATAACCTAAACCAGCGAACGGTAAAAAGATTCGTGAGCTGAGAATAGTATCTACGAGACCGCCAATACGATTATGGCATGCGTAGATTATCCATCCCATTGCTAAAGCCCATAAGAGTCGATGTGTGGCACCATAAATGAGATGGTACATGGGCCATTTCCATCCCTGAAAATCCAAACGGCTTCACATCATATCAATGATCTCAAAAATTTATCTATGAGCATATCTTTCGGTTAGATCAGCCGTGCAAATCAAATGACATCGATGTTTGAATTCTTGTTTACAAAGGCTTTGAAAATCGGAAACTAGAGTTGGATTTTAGAATTTTGAGATTTGCAACTAGCACCATAAACTTCCTTCTGAAATTTTTTAATTTCAAATCTGAAATTGTGATACACATATGAGTTGGATTGTGTGAGAGGAACTTCGCCGACCTGAAGGGCGGGATAAAGGCCGAACAAAGATGACAATGCAAACACAACGGCAAGCGTCCATCCGATGCAAATGAATTTTTTCGTATACTTTTGATTGTGCTGACAAAGATGACAATGCAAACACAACGGCAAGCGTCCATCCGATGCAAATGAATTTTTTCGTATATTTTTGATTCCGCTGGCAAACACAACGGCAAGCGTCCATCCGATGCAAATGAATTTTTTCGTATACTTTTGATTCCGCTGACAAGGTAACGTTAATATATAACCAAGTAAAAGTCCAATGAGATACGGTCCAATTCGATATTGAGGTTTTATATAGACCAGGCGATGGTGCTGAAATAACAAAGATTTGGAAACAAACTACGAAATTTATCGTACTATATCATTTTGAAAGATACATTTTCAAGATACATTATTTTCACCTCACCTCTTCAGATACATTATTTCATGAATACAAATGCTAAACAGGAAGATCTTGCAGTCAATGCGAGCTGCGTGTTAGCAGCGAACATACCTATCAGATTTGACATGTTTAAGCTGTTTACTTAACATATATCACATTCCTAAATTTTTGCTTTTTATTCAGTCAATCTGCAGCATAACGTAGTTGATCACAGTTATGGAAGTAGTTATTGACTGAACATTCAAAAAAGTATCCCAATGTTCACCTGCATGAAATCTTGATTGAATATTGCTGGTTTCGTCCATAACATTTGCGTTGGAGGAAAGTTATAATCGATGGAAGTTTTAAGGTTTAATGCTACCGAGGCAAATATGCAGGCAATTGATATCAGCAGGCCAAGAGAAAATGAACGTTTAAGAGATAGTAAAAATATTGGTGTTATGAGAAAGAAGATAAATTCAGTGCCAATATACCTGCAAGGTAAAAAGCGATTTTTCTGTGAATCTTTCTGTGAAAAAATATTGTTTGATTGCTTTCAAATTGAATTTGAAAGCAATCAAACAATATTTTACGCATCAAACTTTTTCAGAAT